TCCCCCCGCCGCCCCCGCAGCATCACCGGGGTGGGGGTGCAGCCCCGCGGCCCCCCCGATCCCCGTACCGGAACCCCCCCAATCGCTGTGCACCGCGCCCCGGTGCGATCACCCCGCCCCGGAGCTCCCCGTTAATAAAGCCCCGGTGCAGCCCCCGCTGGCCACGATCCCGCTCCCGGTGCTGCGGGCGGCCCCCCCGCCACCTCCCGCCGCTGCAGGTGCAGGGATCGCTTCAGCGCTTTCCCTCCTTCTTCTTTCGGGGTGCACGCCCCGATCCCCCCGCGGGGTCCCCCCCGTTCCCCGGGGGATTCGGGGGYGCGCAGCCCCCCCTCGCCGGTGCCGCCGGTCCCGCACCGGGCCCTTCCCGGTGYCCCCGCATCCCTCGAGGGGTCCCCGCCGCCCCCCGCGCCCCGCTGAAGGTCACGGCTGCGGGCGGCCGGAGCCGCGCGGTTTTGGGGCGCAGGGAGGGGGTGGCCCTGCCGCAGCCCCCCCAGCCCGCACCCCMCGTCCCGCTCGGGGACGCGGTGGCCGCGGCCACCAGCGGGGACTTTGGCCGGCGGCGCGTTCGTGGCGTTTGCGGCCGCCCGGSACCGGCGGGGGTGGGGGTCCGGCGGGCCCTGAGCCCCCCCCGACCCCTCCCAGCTTTTGTCCCCCCCACTTTGACGGGGGGAAGTGGGGGGGCCGCGCTGAGCCCGCCCCGCTGGTGACACAGGTGGCCGAGCCCGTGCGGAGGGACCGGGGAGCGGGGGGGGCTCGGGGCGGGTTTTTGGGGGGGCTGCAGCGGGCCCTGACCCCCCCTCTAATCCCCGCAGACCCCCGGCGTGTTGAGGATGCTCGGGGGGGCCCCGCGAACCCCGCAACAGCCCAGGGTGAGGCGGGGGGGCCTCCCCCGGTGGCGCCAAGCAGGCGCGAATTTTTGGGGTTTCCTGTTTTTCTCCGGTGCATGATGGGGAGCGGGGMGGGGAGGGGGGGCACAGCCTGGGGGGGCACATCTGGGGGTGCCCCCATTTAGCGCTGGGGGGCTGCTTTGCTCGGGGGAATCCCCCAGCACGGCACATTTTGGGGGTCGGGTAAGGATTGGGGGGATCGGGACATTTGGCTCCTTCTTTGTGTGGGGCGGGGGTTTCTCAGGGGGTGTTTTGGGGGAGTTTTTGGGGGGTCTGGGGGTTCACGGGCAGGGCCGGGTGCGGGAGCAGCCGCCGCCGCACGCAGCAGCCGCTCATTTATTATTGATCTGCGTATCTGGTGTCGGGCCCAGCGCCGCCCCGGGGGCCCCCCCGAGCCCCCCCCGGCACCCCGAGGTGCCGCACATTTTGGGGAGGGGTCCGCGGTGGGGTGGAGGGGGATACCCTGCGGTTTCCATGGCCACGGCGCTGCGTTTTCCCGGGAAAAGCGATAAAAACGGGCGGGTGGGTGCGGGGTGGGGACCCCGCGGACCCCCCCCGGTAATGCGCGGGTGTCCCCCCAGGGCTCCGGGAGTTGAACCGCGGGGTCCCCGCGCCGCTGTCGCCCCCCGCCCCTCCCCCCCTCCAAGATGTCCTATTTCACCGAGAACTTCTGGGTAAGCCGGGACCCCCCACCTTTGGGTGCCCCCCACCCTTTGCGCTCATCTCAGACACCCCCCACCCCGCAATTTTCAAGCCTTGGCACCCCTGTTAATTAATTAATTGTGTGTGGGGGGGTGATTGATAAGGGGGGTCCTGGGGATTTTGGGGGGGGTCCTGGTGCTGTCCCTGTCCCCCGCCTCATGGGGGTCCCCAGCCCGGGTTTCGGGGCGGGGAGGGGGGGGAAGTGGTGTGGCCGGTGCTTCCTGCTTCGTCTGGCAGCTGCTGGCACCTTCCTCTTCCTCCTGCCTCAGTTTCCCCCGAAGGGGGGGGGGTTCACCTGCACCCCCAGCCTGTCTGGGAAAAGTACTTTGTGGGTGGGGGGCAGCACCCAAAAGAACTTTGTGGGTGGGCGGCGTTTGGGGTTCACCCCACATTTTCCTGCCTCGTGCTCCTCCAGGGCTGGTTCTGGCCAGGACTGGGGGGCTCAGACCCCAAATTTTGTGGGGTTTGGGCTGCTCCAATGCTGATCCTGGTGGCCCCAATGAAGCGGGGTGTGAATCCTGTGGGATTTGGGGTCTGAGGGTGGGGATCCCCCCCTGCAGGGCGAAAAGAACCACGGCTTTGACGTCCTCTACCACAACATGAAACACGGGCAGATCTCCACCAAGGAGCTCGCTGACTTCGTCCGYGAGAGGTACCCGGCTTTGGGGTACTCCAAAATCTCTGGGGAGGACCCCAAAATCCTGTCCCCATCCCCAAAACCCCCTCCCTGCCATCCCCAGGGCTGCCATCGAGGAGAACTACGCCAAGGCCATGGTGAAGCTGTCGAAGATGGCCACCAACGGGACCCAGCTGGGGTACGGGGCGGGSTTGGGGACACCTCGGGGTGGCTTTGGGGACGCCGCTGACCCTCCCCGCCGCCCTCCCCCAGGACTTTCGCCCCTCTCTGGGAGGTTTTCCGCATCTCCTCGGACAAGCTGGCCCTGTGCCACCTGGAGCTGATGAAGAAGCTGCACGACCTCATCAAGGAGATCTCGCGCTACGGCGAGGAGCAGGGCCGCGTGCACAAGAAGGTACCGGCGCTTTTTGGGGTCCCTGTCCCCCTCCCCGGCACCCCTGGGTGTCCCTGGGTCACCCTGCTGTCCCCTGGCAGTCCAAGGAGGAGGTGGCAGGGACGTTGGAGGCCGTGCAGCTGCTGCACGGGGTGGCCCAGCTGCTGCCCAAGTCCAAGGAGAGCTACCACAGCAAGTGCCAGGAGTACGAGCGGCTGCGCAAGGAGGGCACCAGCCAGAAGGACATCGACAAGGTGGCACCTCCCGGGGTCTCTGTGTCACCCCCATGGTGGTCCCTGTGTCACCCCCAGGGTGGTCCCCGTGTCACCCTGAGCATCTCTGTGTCACCCCCATGGTGGTCCCTGTGTCACCCCGAGGGTCTCTGTGTCACCCTGAGGGTCCCTGTGTCACCCCAAGGGTCTCTGTGTCACCCCCAAGGTCCCTGTGTCACCCTAATGGTCCCCGTGTCACCCCCAGGGTTCCTGTGTCACCCTCAGGGTCCCCGTGTCACCCCCATGGTGGTCCCTGTGTCACCCCCATGGTGGTCCCTGTGTCACCCCAAGGGTCTCTGTGTCACCCCCAGGGTGGTCCCTGTGTCACCCCAAGGGTCCCTGTGTCACCCTGGGTGATCCCTGTGTCACCCCAAGGGTCTCTGTGTCACCCCCAGGGTGGTCCCCATGTCACCCCCAGGGTCCCTGTCCCCATCCCGGTGGTCCCTGTCTCCCTGTCCCCTCCCTGATGATCCCTGTCCCCTTCCTAACCATCCCTGTCATTCTTGGGAATGGTTTCTGTCCCCTCTGGGTGGTCCCTGTCCCCTTCCTCATGATCCCTGTTATTCTAGGGGATGATTCCTGTCCCCTGTCTGTGGTTCCTGTCCCCCTGGGTTGTCCCTGTCCTTTCCCTGATGATCCCTGTCCTCTTTCTGATCACCCCTGTGGCTCTCCTGGATGTCCCCCTGGATGTCCCCTGTCCCCCGGGGTGGTCTCTATCCCTTCCCTGATGATCCCTGTCCCCTTTCTGACCATCCCTGTCACTCTCCTGGATGTCTCCTGTCCCCTAGATGATCCCTGTCCCCCTGGGTGGTCCCTGTCCCCTTTCTGACCATCCCGGTCATTCTCCTGGATATCCTCTGTCCCCTTGGATGTTCCCTGTCCCCTGGGTGGTCACTGTCCCCTTTCTGACCATCCCTGTCCCCCTGGATGTCCCCTGGATGTCCCCTGTCCCCCGGGTGTCCCCGACTGGCGGCGCAGGCGGAGCTCAAGTCGCGGAAGGCGGGCGAGGCGCTGCGGAGGGCGGTGGATAAATACAACGCTGCCCGCGCCGACTTCGAGCAGCGCATGATGGACTCGGCCATGGTGGGGATTGGGGAAGGGATGGGGGGCACGGGGGGCTGGGGAAAGGATGGGAACCATTGGGATTTGGGAAAGGATGGGAACCATTGGGATTTGGGAAAGGATGGGAACCACTGGGATTTGGGAAGGGATAGGCATTGGTGGAATTCGGGTAGGGATGGATTTAGGAAGGGGTGGGCAGTGATGGGATTTGGCAGCAATGGGAACCACTGGGATGGAGGAAAGGATGGGAACCACTGGGATTTGAGCAGGAATGGGATCTGGGAAGGAATGGGCACTGATGGGATTGGGGCAGGGATGGGAACCACTGGGATTTGGGCAGGAATGGAATTGGGGAAGGGATGGGAACCTCTGGGATTTGGACAGGAATGGGCATTGATGGGATTTGGGAAGGGATGGGCACTGATGGGATTTGGGCAGGAATAGGAACCCCTGGGCTTTGGGATGGGATGGGATGGGCACTGGGATTTTGGCCCTTGGGGATGGCACCACCATCCCATCCAAGCCCCTTTCCCTGGTCTGTCAGCTTTCCCGGAGCTGTCAGCTCCCGGGCACATCCCCCCTTTCCTGACCCTCCCTTTTCCCTGCTCCAGCGATTCCAGGAGGTGGAAGAAGCCCACCTGCGGCACATGAAGGGGCTCATCGGCTCCTACTCGCACTCCGTGGAGGACACGCACGTCCAGATYGGCCAGGTGAGTCCCCAGATGAGGGACCCTTCCTCATTCCGGCTTTTCCCTCTTCATTTCATGTCCCCTTCCCGTTTTTTTGTTTTTTTTTTCTCTCAGGTCCATGAGGAATTCAAGCAAAACGTGGAGAACATCGGCACGGAGATGCTGCTGCGGAGGTTTGCCGAGAGCAAGGGGACGGGGAAGGAGCGGCCAGGTGAGGATGGACATGGGGGGTCCCAGTGGTGCGGGATGGATCCCTGATCCCAGTTTATCCCATCTAATCCTGGCTGATCCCGCCTGATCCCGGCTCATCCCATCTGATCCTGGTTGATCCCATCTGATCCTGGCTGAGATCCCATCTGATCCCATCTGATGCCATCTAATCCCAGTTTATCCCATCTGATCCCGGCTGATCCCAGCTGATCCCATCTGATCCCGCCCATCCCATCTGATCCCAGCTGATCCTGGCTGATTCCATCTGATCCCATCTAATCCTGGCTCATCCCATTTAATCCCATCTGATCCCAGCTCATCCCATCTGATCCCAGCTGATCCCGGCCCATCCCATCTGATCCCATCTAATCCACTCTGATCCCATCCAATCCCATCTGATCCCCTCTGATCCTGTCTGATCCCATCTGATCCTATCCAATCCCATCTGATCCCAGCTGATCCTGGCTGATCCCATCTGATCCTGGCTGATCCCATCTGAACCCATCTAATCCCAGTTTATCCTATCTGATCCCGGCTCATGATCCCATCCAATCCCATCCAATCCCATCTGATCCCAGCCCATCCCCTCTAATCCCGGCCCATCTCCGTGCAGGAGCGCTGGATTTCGACGAGTACCGCCTGGCTCCAGCGCAGGAAGGCAAGTACGTCTGCATCCAGCGGGGAATTGGGGGTGCCGGGGGGGCTCCTCCTCACCCCGCTGCTCCCACCCCTCCCAGGACCCAAGAGGAGCCGCAGCAAAGCGTTCCGGATCCCGGGCCTGAGCCGCAGGGAGCGCGAGCGCGACGCTGTGTAAGGGCCCTGCGT